TTCCATAAATAAGACTGTACTAGAATAATGCACGAACAAAAAATACTACTGCAGCACTAACGTCGTTTCCGAAATATATGGTATAGCTAAAGCACTGAAGAACAGAAAACGTGAATTATGGCGAAGTGCGGGATCGGAAGGAGAGAAGAAAGAAGGGGAAGGGGACGGCGGAGCAGCTCCAGTGAGAAAAAGCTGAAGCTCCACGCTATAGTTTCATGTCATTGACTTCCTGAAATAATCAGCGATTTTTTTTAATATACTGACTTCCTAAAATACCCACTGATTTTCGTGCGCATTGACCAACTAAAATACCCCGCAATTCCGGTATGTACTAAAAGACAGAGCAAAGTGATAAACAAGCAGGCACTAGAGCGCTAATAAAGGGACTGTGCAAGATTCCCGGGGTCACAAATCAAATCCCTCACAGAATGTTAGGATACAGAGTATCTCACTGTCTTCTTCAAAGCTTTACACAGATGAGTGCAAACATGTGCGCTAAAACAACTGCATACGAATAACAGTAATGCTGAGAATGGGCCTAGCAATATGAACAGGCTATGTGCTTTACTGGAAAGGCACTGGCTATTGGAAGAGGATCACTCTAAAAATCATCTCATTTGTTCGAATCAGACTGTGCTGCAGTCTCAACCACTTGCTGGAAATAATCCATGACAATAGAAAAATGCATCCAAAAATTACTGTCTTGCGAACGTGGAACCATTTAGGCCCCAAAAGATGCTTATTGCAAGAGCAACAACAGCAATCCCTCCAGTTGCGCCAACTAATATGTAACTTGGCTCCGACTCCAGTGCTGATGACTGCTCATGCTCACGAAGGTAATCCCGTTCCAGCATTGTCAACTCTGACCGGATTGGATACCAGCTCGCAGAAGAGCTTTCTGTACATCCTGCATTTTCCAGACTTTCCACTTCTATGATCAGCTGAAAAAAGCTCTGGCTAATTATAATGTAAAGTAAGTGCAAATGAAAATAAGGATTTTGTCGCAGTCTGAAGGAAAAAGCGCTGCGCTCAAAAAGCCACGACACTCCAATTCACCATGTATAGGGGTGAGAGGCAATTGGACTTCGAAAAGATAGCAAGCAAAAATGGCCGATACGGTGGATCCTAGAAACGAGCTGTCCAGGAAACGCGGTCATAGCACAGCTGTGCTTCACGTATGAATGCATTTCAGTAAAGGGTAGAGCTTTGCATAAACAGCTCAAGCTGATGTGGTAATGACAGTTCTGTAAGGACTCGAATTCAGTAAATGCATGAGATTTCAGAACTTCTGGTATTTCTTTGACAATTTAACAGATATAAAACAGTAATATTCCTGATCTGCATCGCAGAACTCCAAAAATATTTTAAATCACAGTCTTTAAAGTATTTTTCCGAGGTAACCTCAGTGCAGAGTTCGGCAGTTCCATTTCAAATTGCTACAATACTAAAAGTTTCAGAAAACAATTAGAAATGAACAAGTCCATTAACGCCCTAACATCTGGAGATTTCGATTTCCCTGTGAAAAGACCAACAGCAATAGACGGAATTTCCGGCCAACAAACATCTTCATCAACAGCAGAACTGAATGTCGTTACCTCGTGGACATCAGCATCTGCAGATATCCAGACATATCCGTTATTCTGTAGTAGCAAAATCAATTGACAAACAAATGGCAGTTCAGGCAGTCGTGTGTACAATTCGATATACATATCCATCGGCAGTGGTGCTATCATTTCGAAGAAGCTATAGTTAGCAACACCATCGAATGCCCGAACAACCAATTGATAGTGAGGCATCGGGCACCTACAACCTATTTCTTTGCGTTAAAAACTTCGTGATTTGAGCAGTCAAAGTTTGCAAAGGAAGCGGCAGAATGCTTGTACGAGAGGCTCTCTTTGCCGGCATCAGCAGCTTATCTAGCAAGAGGCTGGCTGTCAGCAAATGAACTGTTACGGGATGTGCTTGTCCGAACAATACAAATCAAAGAAACTGAGAAGTTGAAATTTCCGGACCCTCAACCAAGCATATAAGCCAAGACTCCGAAGTCGGCTTCTACGCTACTTCCTGTCTCTGAAATTTTCTGACCTGCAAACCTAACCTATTCTAAATGTTATAATTCAGGGAAATTACATTTGACACTTTTCGATGCTCAGTTCAGCTTATAATTCGTGGCACAAAATATTCAAGCCCCATTAAAAGCCGAACTGATTAAAGAGTTTCAGAATTAAGCAAGTTACGATCTCAAGATTTCAAGGATTTTTCTTTCATCGAATAATGAGAAACGAAGGGCTTGAAAATTGCATTCGAACTGCAACTTGCACTGGCTCATAACCTCGCGTTCACATTCAAACTCATTTCGGAATTTAACAAAAATTTTGGTGATCCAGGCTCACCAAATAAGTCAAATGATCCTTATGGCGAAGGATCACTGGCGCATCCAACAACTGGTATACAGTTAGCTGAAGGGATACGTGACCAAATTCCACCCTGGCGTTTTATTTTCTATTACAAACATATCAAATTTCGATCTATTTTGAATGGCTTTCTCAAGAAACACACCAGTGATTGTTTGGGGGCTGCATGGATTACCGCTGAAAAAATTATATACCACGAGACACTGGAAGGTGCCTTATTTGAAATGTGTTTCTGTCGCACAGCAGAACTATAAATTCGAGAAAACTTAGCCTATTCTTGTCGGATATTTGAATGATTTGCTTTCCGCCGTAGCATAACTGTGCATTGCTAATCACTGTCTCTAGCTGCTGCCAGTTGCTGATAATCTCGGTTCCACCCGCTTCATGCGCTCTCAAAAACGACAGAAATTCCTCCTGCAGTAGTTCTGCATTAGTATGGATTTTCGAAAAAATCATGAAACTTTTTGCTTAGAAAAGAATTATCTGAAATTTGAGGAAATGCCCACTTTGTTGCTGAGGTTGCCGTTGTATCGAAACAGACGACCATCGACGACGTACACAAGGTGCGCCTGGGAGCTGTTTCGAATGGCGACATCATTGAAAAGAGCGCTGCTCCGTCGATTGTCATAAAACTGATAGGTGAACTGCTCGCCAAGTGCAGTCATGTTGTGCTGATCCGAAAATTCGCGAATCCATCGTGGAATCTTCAAGAACGGTTAGTTTCACAGGCATCGTAAGGCAAACCTTGTGCGTGGATGCTGTAAAGCCACACCATTTCATATAAAAGCGTTTGCTTCTGGACACAGGACAAAGGCCTGAGAAGATTTTTCCTAATGTTCAGTGCTTCTCTGCCTTCCATCGCACGAAATGTGTAATTTTCCTAAACGGGAATGCGACGACAATGTTCTTTGCATGGAAAGTTCCAACATTAATTTTGGTGCAGTGTCGCGTAGCAGTGAGTGGTACCCGCGAAGAAATTAACGACCACTCGAACGGCATTCAAAGAAGCGGCGCACTGCCTTGATTGGCGAGGGTATTAACTGGAGACATGCAACTCAAGGCCGATTAGTCTGACACAGCTGATTTAGATGATTCACATGTATCAAAATTTAAACTCCTGAAGCTATTTTCGAACGATCTCCATAATTTTGACTAACAACAAAAACTGATATAAGAGAAACCTTGGATACCCAAGCAGAATTCAAAAGAAGCACATATTTGGATAATTGTCCACGAACGATCAAAGATAGCCGCCAGTAGTTTTTCGCTGTTTGAACAGGCGGCATTCGGTTTTTCTTTTTGATTAAACTTTGGCGATATGAGAGGATTTGCAGTTGCAACTTGCGCTAGGGAGAGAACGGTCTGAATTAGTTGTACACAGTGAGCATTCTACTATTACATTTTGTCTGGGCACTGGCCTTAACAGTCAAGAGGTGCCGGGAAAAGATCGTGGATTTTTGCAACTGGCTGTTGCGGGTGCGCGTAACACCAATGGAATGGTGACACTTGAACAATGAATCATGATCTTTTAACAAATAAAAGTCACGAATTCAGCTTTAAAACAGACTAACTAATCTCCCACAGTTTATTAGCAAAGATGTGTGGACAGCACATGAAGATCTGGATGAGCATCAACCACCCTACTCCCGTTAGCTAACACCCCATCCTTCTGCCGATCGCTTGTTCAAATAACCTGATGTGGAGCCAGAGCTCTCTGACTCGGTAATTTGATTATAAACCTGATCGAGGACTAGACTTTGCCGAAAAGACAAAGGACATAGAAATTAAGTTGGGGCTTGTTCCTACTCATCAACTATTCATCGGTAGGACCAACAGCAGTGATTACGAAGCTCATGTTGCTATGTCAGTGAGGGAGTACAGCTTCATGGAAAAAATGACAACCTCTGACTGAGCCGGATAGCAACGCCGGGCGCAAAGCAGTATCACTAAGCGTCCATTAAGTGTTAATTTTTGTTCAATTGTATCAACGAGGCGTCGAGTTCGTCGATCGAAGACTGCGTTTTTGCTGCTGCTAAGCAAATGGATTTCGGTGCCGAAGTGTCGACTCCAGGATCGAGCAGCCCCCGCGCCAGTTGCGCTCCAAACAACTATAAGGTATAGTGCACATCGCACTATTACCATTGACCAGTGTAAGGAAGACGACAGCAAGCACACCACTGAAAGTGAGCAAATAATCATTTTACCCTTCTGCCAACCACAAAAGCTGCGCATGCGCTGGTACTCAAACCTAAAGTTAGCATAGATCTCGACCAACAACTTGGTTTCACTTAGATCACTGTAGTGTAAACTTTAATATTTCTTGCCGAT